GACAATAAATCGTCCGCCATCCTCTTTCTGTAAATTCCACTCCTCTTTTCTCCTCACGTGATAAATGAAATATGAAGCATTGTAGCTATGTTCAGATGATAATTATAGAGCATGCTCTCGTTTTAAGTCAATTATTTATAATTATATTTTCCATTTATTTCAAATAAATGTTTAATATAAAAAAAACCCGAATACTTAAAAACAAATGTGGGGACGGTGTCACGGTGGAAAAGGGATTTCACCGGTGTTGCGTCTTAACACCGGTATCACCGTCAACACCGTCTATCGTGGCAAGCCTAGTAGTTACTCTCTTTTTTTTTTCTTTTTTTTTGTAAATTATTAATTGAAATGTTTTGTTTAGCAAAGACCAAGCTAATATGTTGCTGAAGATGCTAATATGTTATATGCTAATATGTTATGTTGATAGCTAATAGCTAATATGTTGCTGAAGATGACATTTTAAAACAGTCAAAATGAAATTGGTTATTATTAGAGCTGTTCTTGCTCTTTTTATATCATTAAAATTGCTGCTATCATCACACACTTGCCTTGCTGTTAAATCCTCCAGTTAATGGGGAAAAAGACATTTAAGCCAATCCCATGTAATGCTTTTAAGATTGGCAAGCCTGCTGGGTTGTCATGACATGGTGATTTGATTTCTACTTCTCTGTATTTTTCAGTGATTATCTGAACCATTGTACTGACAGGCCTGTCAGCATATCAGAGCCTCTCATGTTGTCCATAGTTCAAGTGGCTCTTGAAAGTGGCAATTTACAGTTGGACATTTGACCCAGCAGGTCAATTACTGATAAAGACTGTTCTCTGGTTTTTACTAATAATACTTGATTTGAAATCTCTTTTACTCACTTAATTGCTGTTGTTTTTGTCTCACCTCAGGCTCTTTGTGGCTCAGTGATTAATTTATCAGATTTATGTTTGGTAAACGTGTGAAATGTCTAATGGTTTAGTGTTCATCTTGGGAGAGGAATGCAGGGTTGACCACTTGGTCATCTTGTGTAGTGCCACAGACCCTGTATTGCAAGATGTTGGCCTTAAGAGGATTATAGTGTTTCTCCTTAGAAAACAACTGACTCTAATATCTGGATTAGATCACTATTAGTCAGTCTGTTTGTTTCAGAATGATATAAAAAACACAGTGTGATTTAATTTAAATCACACTGTGAAAAGTTATGCTGTGATATAGGATAGGGCTGCTCGATTGAAAATGACAATCATGATTCTTTTGGTCACATTTGTAAACAATTATTTAAAACTATTTAAGTCAAAATTATTCGCCCTCCTGTGAATTTTCTTTTATTATATATGAACATAATTTGCTTGATTTCGGCGAGAATAAAAGCAGGTTTAAATATTTTGAAACCTATTTTAATAGCTCAATATTATTAGCCCCCTTAAGCAATATATATATTTTTGATTGTCTGCAGAAAAATAAAAGCTACTGTTATACAATGACTTGCCTAATAACAATAATTAAGCCTTTGAATGTCACTTTAATCTGACTACTAGTATCTTGAAAAATATCCAGGAAAATATAATGTACTGTCATCATAGCAAAGATAAAAGAAATCAGTTATTAGAAAAGTGTTTTTAAATCTTATGTTTAGAAATGGGTTGAAAAAAAATCTTCTTTCCATTAAGCAGAAATTGGGGGAAAAGAGTCGCTAATAATTCAGAAGGGCTAATAATTCTGACTTCAACTGCATACAGTTATTTTCCTCCCTGTAAATAAGGAAAGTGAAATAAATACAATAGAATAAAAATATGAAACAAACTGTGTTTCAAGCATCTTCACTGTAAGAAAAAAAACTTTAATTATAGCTACAAAAGTCTTTTAGTTAAGAGCAGTGAGTGATTTTGTCCAATTGTTGTTTAATTAATAATAAAGACAGTCGGCAGCAGGAATAATGTGCGCTGTCACTTTAAGAATAGTGTGTTTCAGATATGGTTTCTTTCACGTGTCTTTTGATTCTAAACTTGTTTGTTTATTACACAAATGAGGGTTAATATGAATAATCACTAAACACTGCGCTCTGACTCATGTGCATTTATTTGACCAATAAAGTGCTCGCATTAAGATGACTTTATTTGTGTGCTCTGCTCTTCTCTGAGGCTAAGCACACACACAACAGCATGCGCTCTTTCGCACTTTTAAAAACATGAATGATTGGAATGTACTATGAATAATGCGGATCCCGTGCTGTAAATGTTACATTACGGTACATGCTTTAACATTTTCTTGTGGAACTGAGCTTTGCAACATGTGTATAACTGGAAATGGGGCAGTATTTGATGCAATAATCGTTTCATCTCGATTCATGTGTTTTCATAATCGTTAGAAGCCGAAATCGAATCCAAATTTTCGATTAATTGCACAGCCCTAATTTAGGGTTGTCAAAGTCTAATTTAGAATATTTGTCATAAACCTACATTCAAAATCTTTTGTGTGTCAGGGTGAGACTAACGTAGAAACCAATGTGTCTTGTTTTTGTTAACTTATGCTATGCTACATTCGAGACAACTCTGAATTCTGAGTTTTGCTTAGAACGCTGATAGAAGTCACACATCTGACCTGTGAACTCATGTAATATAATACTGCATTTGCTGTTAAAAATAAAAGTACTTATGTGTTTAACTTTGGGCTTTTGTGAGCAGGACAACTTGAATGGTGTGGGCAGGGGAAAATGATATATATTTTTTTTTTGCTGAAGTGAGACAGAATCTTGCTGGAGCGGGACTGAAAAAATTGTCTTGTCTCTAGTTCACACTAATTTTATTCTGTAAACAGAATTGAAAGTTCAGTGCTAATCTCTGTGTATTTGAAAAACAAGATGTTTTTTTATGATCGCAGAACTGGCTTTACTGACAAAATGCTCACAATTGTGTGGCCCTACATTCTAGTGATATTAATGTAACTTGTTCCCTCTGAAAGTGGAAACAGAAAGCAATGCATATTGTACTGCTCAAAGTACCAAAATGGCAAAATATACCATACCACTTTTTGGAGACTCTTTTGCAAGAGTAACTATTATAATCCAACAAGCCAGAGGTCTGAAAACAGAGGAAGTAAAGTGTTCATCTTAACTAAAAGCTACATCGTGTTTGCTAGCCTCAAGCATCATGCACCTGTCAGTCAGTCAGTCACTCAGCCAGTCAGTCAGTCAGCACGTAACCTCAAACGGTTAAACAGATTGCACACAGCACTATTGCGTTTACAGAAAAGTTTGCGCTGTTATAGTTCACTTACATTTTAATATGTTTTAGTGCGATTTATAATCCGCTAATAAAAACAACAACAACAATGACTGAATGTTTTGAATGGGCAATGTAGCCGTGGAGGGATGCATTTTGGTTGCCGCCATGGAAGAATGAATGTAGCAGAAACCTTTCTCTTTAAAAGTTCTCTGTAGTTGTCTTGACAACACAAACTGCTGCTCTGGGATGAGCCGCGTGCAAAATACTTGCGGCTGTTAGTAAACCATTCAAAAAATGCCCCTTTTAACGCAAAGGCGCATTCAATCGACCCCTTAAAGTTTGTTTCATTAAATGAGTAATAAATGTAGTTGTGTATTTTTAAGTAACTTTATGTAACTAATAAGGCTATATCTCACTGTTGGTTTTAATGCATTAATATTTACTAATAAGATTGTACTATAAATTGTTACCTATCATCCTATTGCCTTTTTTAAAATTACTCTGAACATGAATATACAGTAAAGCAATACACTAACAGGTGTAATTAAAAAAGTCATCTTTTTTGCATTTTAAATCAGTGTGATGAGACTGTGTATCATGATAAAAGCTTCAGCAATTAATTGCAACAAGAATATTTAAATTGAAAAAAATCTAGCCACATGCTGAGATGCAAGAACAGGATTTGCTGTGTTGCTTGTGTTTCCTCCATTGTTGCTCATAGGCTGTTCACATGCTATATTTAAAAACATGTGGAAAGCAAGAGATGTGTTGCCGCTTCTTTCTATTTGAACGCGGTTGCCAATTTTATTATTATAATTTTTTTGAGTCACAATCATGCAATATTTAGGCAAGGCAAATTTATTTATATAGCACATTTCATACACAGGGGCAATTCAAAGTGCTTTACATAAACAAGATTAAAAGAAACAAGTAAAATAAAAATAAAAACAAATAATAAAAATGAGTAAAAAACAAAAAAAACATAAAAACGGGTAAAATGTGATATAAAAGAATGAAGAAGAAGAGAAAAACATAATAGTGCAATCTGTCGGACGCAGCACAGTGCTCATTCAGTAAAGGCACAGCTAAACGAATGTGTTTTCAGTCTTAATTTGAATGTGCCTAATGTTGGAGCACATCTGATCATTTCTGGAAGCTGATTCCAGCAGCGAGGGGCATAGGGGCTGATTCCCAATATTAGGGAATTTGTATGTCACTTAAAATTTCAATATCGAAATTCACAATAGTTATCATGAAGGATAAGTTTGATTGTATGGCCCTCTCCTTATCTATACTATCTTAAGGCAAGTTGTCAGTTTACACTTTAATAAATCTGGATATTGTATTGTGACTCATGCATCATCCCCCACACAGTGCTCACTCTTAGCTGAGAGAAATCCACTAGCCTGCTTGTTACTGTCAAACCGTGGTTCTCACTGGAGTGCAGAAGTAGGTTGATGCTAAAATCTGGGTCAGCGGTCCCTTTTACACGTGTTCAGAGCTCCCGACAGGGGCAGCAGGAGTCCATAACAAAATGCTCCTCATAGTGGCTGATAGGGTGGACTGAATGCAGGCTAGATGTGTGCTGGGGGAAATAAATAGAGCAGATGGAACACCTGAGGAAATGTGTGTTAGCCCCCCAAAGCTACTGTCTGAGAGACAGGGTCAGTAGCATACTTCTGGTGTTGCTCAAAGCATGTATGGTCACTAATGTACCTGGATTACTCTTATTTGCCTTCAACCAGGTCTGTAACGGTCACTGATGAATATGTCTCTTTCCTCCACAGATGCAGAGACCGTCTGGTTGGTAAATGCCTGCAGGCTGTCAATGTGTGGTGTACCTGGAGACTGTCTTTAAGGAGAAGTGTTTGGGGTGAGCTGCTGACCACCCTGCGAGCCGGACCCGGCGTCCTATCTCTGATCTCCTGCCAAGGAGACAGCAGTTGCTGCACACTCTACACCTGACCCCCATCCCCACCCCGTCCTGTCCCGTCCCTTCTGCCAACATGGTGCTGTCACAGAGGCAACGTGACGAGCTGTAAGTTTACAAACATACTGAAACCGTCTCACACACAGAACTGTGAAAGATCCTAGTAAACACATTGGTGCATTTATCAATTTGTGAGAGAGATTGTAATCTTTCAGTGCTTATACCTCTTTACGCTTTTGACCACAGCGAAGGACAGTATGGATTTATCAGGCACTTTAGTAATTGAAAAGATCACTGGTTCACTGTCACACTCAATCGATGACAAGGTCTAGACAAAGCCTTGACATAAAAACCTTTTTGTGTCTTGTCAGGATTTGAACTGATGCGGGTTTTCATCTCGTCACTGAAAAACACCTGTCCTTTAGTTTGGTTAAGTTGTCTTACAGATAATTGAAGATAAATCTATCCTGTGGTCCAGCACACAGCGTAATTAACCTTCGAACGTGCACAAGTTGGACTGATAAGAGCTTTTAATTATCAGTATGAGATTAAAAAAAGTTGACTATTTAAATTGTTTTGCCGCAGCTCTATAGAACGGGCTTTGCTCTCTGTGAACAACCTACTGAAAGTTTGGTTTACTGTTGCTCTAATACAAGACAAGCCAAAAGTATGAGACATGACATTAAAATACTTTACTGAATGTACTCTGCTGATGTGCATTTATCTATTTTAGAGTATCATTACCCTAGCTTTCCATTATGCTGATACTGTATTATAAACCTGGTTTGTGGGGCATGTGGAATTATTGTGCTTTCAGATTGAGTATTTTTACTTGTTAGAATCTCTTTGATTTATTAATGCAGTGAGGTGGGTCAAGTTTGAGAACCAACTTTTTAGGTCCAATTTACAGCTGGTCTAAGGAGCAAAAGCTGCTGTTCTCTTTATTTATTTTCTGTTGTCCCTTTTCCCATTTATATACAAGTTGTGCAAACTTATTATGCAATATTACACAAGAAACAAAGATCATGTTCTCAGAGAAATCAGGAAAGCACTCAAAACTGGATGAAATAAAAAGCCAGGTTGGAAATGTCTCTTTCATCTATCTGTAATCTGATCAATTGAAATGCCTAAGACTTTAAGGTGTAATCAGGGCTATAATCTTCCATTCCAATTTGGATCAGACTTTGATGGCAATATAGAATGTTACCTCTTCATTTATACATGTCCTGTGGTTTTTTTTTTTTTTTTTTTGAATGTTGAATGTTATTTCGGGTTAACAAAGGCAAAACTGCAGTACTGCTGAAAGGATGTAAACTTTCCACCCTGCATAAATTCACGAGCATGAATGTGAATGGTGCTTTTAGACTGGCAGCAAATACTGGTAAAAAAAACCAGGGGGCATCTTGATGCATTACTGCTGGATTCATTAGCACAATAGCAGAGGGGAAATGGAGGCAGTGACAAGCTGACCCCTGCATGAACAGTTTATTTTCCTCTTTGAATGATTTCATAAAGAGCACATGAATGGCATCCAAGTTGTTCAAGTTATTTAGGGTTTTTTCAATGCATAGAGCTTAACTGCTGGCTGTAGAAAAACGATAAAACGAAAAACGGTTTTCTGGGAATGTGGAATTTGCGTAGTGTTGTTATTCTCTGCATGGTTGGTTTATTCATTTACTTATTGCTTATTTATTTTAAATGGATTTGCTTGCCTAAATATAATCAAGTGTAGGAAAAATGTCTGTTAATTTATCAAGAACTTTCAGGATTTCTTGTGATGTTTATCTTGGTCATACGGCTGCACAACATCTTACAAAGGTTATATATAGTTACAAGTCATAATGGAGTCAGTCATACAAGAGCACATTGTGTTTGTGTGCTGAACACTTGGCAGAGTGAAGCCTGTGAGGGTTTGTTTTAAAAATAAACACACAGCACACTACTGGATAGACACAAGGTGTTGGTATAAGGGGGATGTGGGTATTTATGATGGAAGGATGGCTGTTCTCATGTTAACAGGGTCTTTGGAGTCATTGGTCTCCTGGAGCGAGAGTTTAACTCTCTCTGTGTGAGATCATGGGTCAGACCGATCTTCCTATATGAGCTAAATATGCTGTTGACTCTGCCGTTGAGATAAAATGTGGCTTGCTCCAGGCTGTCTCCATTTGATTGTGGAGATTGTATCTTGTTATAGATCTCACCTTCTTTTGGCTTTGGGATTTTATTCTAATTAAACTTATTTGCAAGTTAATTGGGGAATGCATTATCTACACATAGCTGATGCCTAAATAATGCTTTTTCTTAGCCCGCGCAGCAATTTCAAAATTACCTTGGCACTGAAATGTGTCATTTATATGAGATTCAGTAGGGTTTAGCAATTATTTTTTTTCCAGAATATTAGTCTTTAATTAATGTTGTTCTTCGTTATCTGAAACATGTTGATTTGTATTCCAGAGCAACTTGTGGTAATACAATCAGTCAAGCTAACTGCAGAAGTGTGTTTGTATAATAACAGTGGTTTAAGTTAAGCATTAAATTGGTGTAGGATTGATATTTGTATGTAAATGCTTCTTGGATAAAATATCACCCAAAATTGTTCATTTTGAACTATTTCTTAATTAAATACTTTTAAATGTAAAGTGTTTATTGTGAAGTGAGGATTACTATTTTACTATTAATATTTTATTACAAATGGTGAAAAAAAATAGATATGCAAGTTATAATGAGGTGCATATTTTTAGTATTATAGTTATTACAATTTTTTATATTATATATATTTATTATTATTATTAAGACAACACATTTTAGTTCAATGTTTTCTACATTTTTGTTATTTATTCAGTTATTTATTTGCACATTCATGTAATTTCAAACTTCCTAAGTAGTTTGAGGTTACTAGCTCCAGTTAACTGCATTTCTCTCTGTTTGAAACTAATGTAAAAGCAGTGTGCATATTAGTGATATGATGTGATCTCGGGCTACAAGATCTTGCTAGACTAAATTGTAGAGGTGTCAAAATTAATTGTTTCTTTGGTGCACTGCGATGCAGATGCCGACAATTTGGCATCGGTTCAGTAATCATAACCAGTTATGTAATGAAGTCATTTATCTCATATGCACTATGTTGCATTAGCTTACTATGTGTACGGGAGCGAGAGTATTTACAATGCTCAAACGACTTAACTCAAAAAACTGTGCATAATTTTACTGTGTGTGTGTTTGCTGGACAGTCTTCACTGTCAGTTTCACTGACAATTACAGCAGAAGCCCCTATTTCACTGTGATTATGAGATCGAAAGTAAACTATTTCTCTTTCTCTCGTTGTGGCCCATTTGACCTTCTAGTGTGACTTTTCCTCTCCTCTCGGCTGTTACAGCGATACTTCTGCATACAGACACAAGCGCATGTCTGCAGGTTTTTCTCCACAGTGTTTATCTTGGATCAGCTGTAATCGCCGCTGACCAATCAAAGGGGTGTAAGAGAACTTTGTAGACAAGGATCAGAAAGCAAGCGGGATATTTATATTTGTTTATATTATTTGCTATAAATGCTTGCTAGAAGCAAAATATATTTATACGTTTTAATTAGGGGTGTCAAAATTAATCGTTTCTTCGGTTCACTGTGATGCAGACGCGGACAATTCGGTATCAGTTCAGTAATAATCATAGCCGGTTATTACTGATTTCATTTAGCTTATATGCGCTCTGTCGCGAGGGAGGCGATCGCGAGTATTTACAGCGCTTTAACTACTTAAAACTCAAACTGTGCACAATTTCACTGTGTATGTTTGCTGGATCAGTCTTTCACTGACATATACAACAAAAGCCCCTATTTCACTGAGATCGAGAGAATGAAAGTAGCCTACTCCATTTCTCTCTCTCTTGCTCTCGCTCTGTCTCTCTCTCTCTTTCTCACACACACACAGTGGCCCATTTGACCTGCTGGCGTGGTTTTTCTTCTCTTCACGGCTGTTTTACAGCGTTACTTTTGATTACAGAAACAGAATTTTCTCCACCGTGTCTATCATACATCAGCTGTGAGATTGCCACTGCCGACTGCCGCTTATCAGTATCACTCATCTGTGAAGAACGCAGCGCGCAAGAGCCAATCGCAACCGTTTTTTTAAGGGTGTGACCAATAAAAAGGGGTGTAAGAGAACTAGACAAGGATCAGAAATTGAGCTGGATATTTATATTTGTTATATTTGTTTATTATTTGCTAAATGCTCGTTTTGTTTAAAGTTCCAGTTTATATCTCTGACTGTTTGTATTAAATGACAAAATTGTATTACAAATAATATATAAATATAAATATATTCATACATTTTAATACAAGAAATGCCGCTGTGAAGAAAATATAAAACTGTGTATGGAAAGCACCGTCAATGCACCGTGATGAACCGAATCGATGGCATGATAATCGTAACCAAACCGTGAGACTAGTGTAGGTTCACAGCTCTAGTTTTAATACAAGAATTGCTGTGCTGTGAAGAAAATGTAAGACTGTGTATGGAAAGCATTGTCAATTCACTGTGATGACAGAGATATCAAATCGAACTAAATCAATGGCATGATAATCGTAACTAAACCGTGAGATCAGTGTAGGTTCACAGCTCTACTAAATTAAAAAAGTTGTCTAGCGAGTTGTGATGTTATGATGGACCGTGAGGGTGAATTTAGCATTGACGATTGGAGACAGGATTGTATTATAACCGCACATCAAGTGCTTTGCACACACCTGACAAGCTGGCTTTGCAGGGCTCGAAATTGCGACCATTTTGGTCGCATATGCGCCCGAGATTTTATTTTTGCGACCTCAACATATTTGGGAGCATTTGTGCGAGTGCATATGATTGTTGTGTGCGACCCAGTTTTTACTGCAAAAAATTCAACACATGCGCAGATTTGGGAGACATTCACGCAGAATGCATCTTTGCTCTTGAAATGTGAAACGCAGCGCTCAGGAATGGTTTAAAACAGTTCTCATGTCAACTTGCAGCAGTAAACAAAGCCAAGTCCGTAATGCTTGCACCGCCTTCACACTCTTCTTATTGACCCACTGCTCTAGCACTGAAATATCAGCTTTCAAACACTTAATCAATGCCTTCT